TTGACATCAAAATCCAGTGTTTTTCTGCAAAGCAGTTGCACGGCAGCTACTCAGCTACTTGTCTTCGCGAAGCAGAGATGCCTCCACGCTGTCAAGCAGCTCTTCTAAACTCATCTCTTCCACTCCTTCGAAGCATAGTAGCTACCATGTAAAGCTGCAAAACATGGGTGCTAGCATCACAAGAAATGGGGAATCAGGCTTGCTCACGACATACCGAAATTCACTTGAGCGCTTGAGTGTTACTATTGGAGCACAATATCTCTTATTGAAGACTAAACCGGTGAGACCAAAAAAAACTGTCCAGCCTTTGCTACGGCGAGGGCCAGCACCTGAGCGGGGAGATGGCCATTTATGAGACGTACCGCTACATTACAACAACAAGTCTGCATTCGCAAGCTCCAGGAGCCTCAGCTCTGAAAATTGCCTAAATGAACAGCAGCATAGTCATCGCTGAAAACAATACTGAAAGTCACGTAGTTTTTTGGCAGAGGCGTCAGCTTAAAATTAAGGGTCCCCCGCAAGTGTAGATTCTGATCCGGAAAATCTGCATCATAACTTTCAGACATCCACGGCTCTCTGAGCCAGAGGCTAGCAGCTGAGCTTACTACCGGAGGTTTGCAAGGATGGATCAGCTGTTGCCTGCGTCAAAGGTAGCACTAAGTCAGCAGGTGGTGGATTCAGCACATGACTTAGTGAGAGTGGAGCAGGATTGCATCAAATGTCATCATTCTTCTTGTCTCAACACTTTTATGTTCCGTACACAGACCACTCCTCAAAATCCTGCTGCTATCGATGTCAGCACGTCAGTGCTGCAAATGGATGGCTCTGAGGATTACACGGGCAGCTGCTTCTCTTGGCTGGGCACGCCTCCGGATAAAATTCCAAATCAGCAGGCGCACCCTGCAGTGCCGCATAATGCATAGGTTGCACAGGTTTGCAACCTCAACGAGAACTTACTGGAAAGAGTTACACATGTTGCTGCATTCCTGCTGAGATTCACTTGCCTCACATGAAATTGCACCCGCGCAATTTTTGTTAACGCAACCTAGCAATGGTATATGGCAGAGCCGTGGACAAAAGGTGTCGCACGGCATGTCTTTGCTGCACTTTTCGGACCTTCATCGGCGGCTGCGGCTACGGCTACGGCTGCGGCTGTTGCTGCGGCTGTGCCGTGGAGTCCTCTCCGGGGGCCGCTCGCGGGCACCATAACCCCGCCGCTTGGCCGCAGTCACACGCATGAACTGCCGGGCCACCTGTGAAGCAGTCTTGATGCAACATGACTGACACTGACATCTTCTACCGAGAGGATGACGCTCTCCTGCCAAGCCCTAGGAACCTGATCCATCACAACAGCAAGAAGTTTCGCCAAGGCACTTCGGCCGGATCTTCGGCTTTTGTGAAATCCCAGTTCTTCCAGCACTTGTCAAAGCCACCTGCCGAAGCTTCAATTGCTCATGCTCTACCCTGAGACAACAAATATCCAAGGCGCTTCCCGGAGCGCTTTCATCTAGCAAGGTGCTGTCTTTTCTCCTTGCCATTGGCTGACGCCGTCTGTCAAATACCAAGCAAATATCTTCATCTGTCCAAGGCTCGACTGGGAGCCTCTCAACGAGGTGGGATGACGGAGGTGCCTAACATGGACGCTGGCCGCAAGGTTCCAGGCAACCTTGCTGGGACATGTCTTGCTGCAGGCCAGATGCTGCTTCTCGCTCCGGGCTTCCTCTTGCGCTGCCTTTCCAGCTTCACTGTTCACTGCTAGCCCAGAAAATCATAAAGCGACATTGCCTGCCTGAGCCCGTTTGGCTTGCTCGTGCTCCTCCTCAACAGGTCGGCAGCGCATCTCCAATCACGGTGGCTTTTCTATAAAGGCCTTGTCGAAGTCATCTTCGGATAGGGCAAAGATGCCTCCCAAATTTTTCTTCCGCTCGCTCTCTTGCTTTCGCCGCTTCTCCTGGCAACTATAAGCTTGTGCCATACACGCTGCCACTTGAAGCTTTCCTTCAGGTTTGGTTTGAAGCAAGACACAGCCTGAGAGCTGCAAGATAGCTCAACATTTTACCAGTCTGCGGCTTAGTGTGTGCTAACAGGTGCTGTTCGAAAGCTGCTTGGAGCATGCGTCCTGCACCTCCTTTAAAAGTTGAAGCTGCTTCCTCTCTTCTTCAATCCGCCGAGCCTGGCCACAGCCACATCCCCTGGCACTGAGGCCTGTACGAGCTGGCTCACTGGACAGCCAAACATAAGTTGAAAATGAAATTGAAACTTGGATTGGATTGTCTCTGTCGGCGCGCTATCGGCTTGTCTTCTTGAACTCCAAAATGCAATCAGCCCTTCAACGCAGACAGGTCTGCTCTCAAATCAACTTGGCGGGTACCCTTATAGCAGGCGTCTTAGGCCCCATAAGAGCGTCTTGATCAAGGCGGTGCTCAATGGGGTAAGGACCACCTGGAACTGTTCTTGATTTTGGGCTTGTGTTTCACTGTTACTGGCATGGAGCAAGAGGTTCCAGATCTTGCCTCACGATCAGAATCCAAGCCAGGCATCAGCTCAGGAGTTTCTTCAGGAGCGCCGAAGGCCTCAACCTCCTTCCAGAAAGATTTCTCGCTACAAAAAGCCCATGATCACGGGTGTCATTCTCAAAATTATGGGTCCCTTCTGGTCGGCACCTAATATTCAGGGGTACCAAAGTGGGACCTGACTTTTGGAAACTACCCACTCTTCAAGTAGTCACAAGGCTCTCCTCTTCTTCGCTTCCTTCGGCACTCCAGTCGCGCTCCCGGGCCTGAAGAACGTGCAATGAGGTACTATGACACCTATGACACCTACTATGACAGTTACCATGAGATACTGGAAAATACTAGGTCCTTATGTGATTCTGACAGGTTATGACAGTCAGTATGAGGTACTGGGAATTGCTGGGACATAAAAACCGGGTGGGTGCGCCTTTGTCCTGGAACGAGAGCATCGAGATCGAGGGGAGTTGGATCCAGATCTCCTTCAGAATGTGTGCGCTTCTGTCCCCCCGACCAGTTCCCCAACTAGGGGACCGGTGGTAAGGCTTGGCGGTCCCTCAGGATGTATAGGCACAGGAAGCATGTGAGTCATAGGGTTCTGGAGGTTCTCATTTCAGGGGTTGGGGTTAACTCACACTTCATACACCAACATTGTAACATCTGGTGGCCAAGACTGACTTTTCTGAGGCTAGGACTCCGATTCCTTCCGCCTCTTCTTCTTGGGTTCTTTCCTCTCTTTCTTGTGCACCTTCTTCTCAGTAGCATGCACCTCCGAAGAGCCAGCAGGCGGCGTGTGATCGGCAGCTGCCACACATGCTGGCATCATGCAGCTTCTTCTGTACATTCTCAGCCGCGCAATAAATAATGACTATGGATATCATCCCCTTGTCAGGTCAGTCACCTGATTAGCGCCTTATGTCTCTGGCTGTACTCTTGGAGCTCTCCGGGATGTGTCAGGCCTGTGGTTTTGCCAGCGCCGGCTTGGACTTTGCCTTCGGCCTCCGGCGAATGACCTCACATTCAGAAGCATCACTTGCATCCCATTGAAGACAAGAGGATGCGGATACTTGGCACTCCGATCTGAAGGTCCAAGGTTGGAGTCTTACAAGCTCCTCCCTCCCTCCAGCTCAAACCCGACAGCCCCCAAAAAGAAGGACATCAAAGAAGACCCCTGTTTTCACGGACGCCCATTTTGAGAACTGCCATGGTGAGCCTCGGCCACGAGCATCGCCTCCCTCCCCACATTGGGGATCAGATGCGGGCCCTGCGATGGGGGGGGGCTTCCATTCTTGCGCGCTGCAACAGAATTTACAGGGGGCATTTCAGGCAAAGGGGCGAGTGACTCCCTCAAGCACTGGAAGTAAGCACAAGTAGCAATGAACACAAAAACCCTCGAATCGAAGCCTGGATGTGGTGCGTCATCCCGCCGGAGCGGGCCCCCTGGACTCCGCCGCGCTGCGTGGCCTAAACGCCACAGGTTCTGCTTCAGGGTGTAAGGTTTCAGGCTTGGGAATCCCTGTGCCTTGAACTCCTTCTACTAACACCCCCACCTCTCCCTCACCGCCACCTCTTCACAGAAAAAAGCTTGCAGAAAAACTCTGCTCTCAGGATCGCACCATTTTTCAGCTCGGCTTCACATCGCGCCAAGAATCAAGAAGGGCACCCATCTCTGTTGGAGTCTTAGAGCTGGCTCTGAACATCTCTGTAGACTGGTGGCTGAGTGTGGCAGCAAACTTTGGAACTGTTTGCTTGTATGGCCAAAGCTTTGCTTGAGTTGTTTGAGCAAACAAGGTACGACCACTTTACAAGATGCTTTCCGCAGCTTCTCGCTCACCACACAACTATGCGATAGCTTGAAAGATCTTGAAAGCAACCGCCCACCTGGAGCGCAATCCTCGCAGGTTTTGTCTTTCCTGCCAGACTCGCTCCAAGTTCAGCATCCATATACCAGCTGCCACCCAGCTGCACATGCACTGAGGAGCCGGCGAGGTGAGTTGGGAGGGCTTCACTTTTGCCATCACTTCAAAAGGATCTGCTGGCGTGGTGCGCAGGCCTTGAACTCAACAGTCCCATCGCTGTCCACCAATGGTCACGCTTACGTGGCGTCACATGCAGGACCGTGAGCCTCCGGCCATCGACATCAGTTGCGACTGATGTCCTGAACAATTCCAGCACCTCGCCATGTCAGACTCAAAGCTGTCAAAAAAGCACAGCTCCAGTGTTCCCAAAGGCCTTTGCATCCAACGTGCGCCTCCCACATCATGCGTGAGTGTAAGCAGCTTGCAACCAGATTGAAACTCAGCGCGTTGAATTGCCCGAGCAGCCCGGCCCTTTGTGTCTGCAGAGCAGGTCAAAGTTCACCACCGAGCCAGCTTCACTCCAGATGTCCTGGAGACAGAGTATCAACGCTTTTGTTTTCCACTCTTATAGGCTCATGTGCAACATGTGTCGACACACTGCTGTTTGAGGCGTCCTCTTGGTGGCCTCGGAAATTCTTTGCATTGAAGATCGCCAAGCGAAGTAGCACACACTCGTACCTCGTAAGCCCCAGTGACTAAGTGACGAAGAAGCACTCTTCATTGCAGGAAGTGGCACTTGTTCTTCTTCAAGATGCGCAGAAGCTTGGAGCCCTTCTGCCGGGGATTTCGGTACCTTCAGCGGGAATGAGATGTCCGAGGCCCAAACTGCAGGCCTGGCAACAGGGCGCGCTCCACGAAGAGGACCGGCTGGAACCTTCGAAGCAACGCCAGTGCCTCGTGCGGCAAGCCCTTTTCCGCCCTGCATTCAGCTGCCAAACTCCCGGCTCTTGGAGCCACGCACCCTTTATCACCGCGTACTCCATGGCCTGACATGCAGCAAGTCTTCTTCCTGCTGTGTAGAGTGTAGAATTAGTCTGAAGCCTGGCCTCGGCATCGATCTTGATGAAATCCACCTGGGACACGGACCTCATCAACACTCAAACAAAACAAGCTGCTGCAGCTGCCGAAACTTTCCTCTCGGGCATAGGCAGTTGTTGAAGCGTCACCTGTCTAAACACGGCCGAGCAGGAGAAAAGGCATCTTCATACAGCCAAGTTGCAACTGGATACTCATCCCAAGCGGAAGAAGCACCTCGTTGCACTTCAAAAATAGCTGCTTGCTGCTTTCCGGGTTGAACTCATCATCATGTACCAAGGTAGAGGCGCTGTGTGTCCGCACCAGCCTAGCCGCAAGACGTAACACCACAAGTGTACAATTCACAGCAACAGCCTACGGCACGGCCCACAGAGTGCAAAGCAAGCAGCATCGTGAATGGTGAGATGGTGAAAGTCCATGGATCCGAAATTGAAGAAGTCCTGCCTGAGATTGTCCCAACGCGCAGCGAACTAAAGCTGACAAGACTCTGATGGCTAAGCCACTGCTTGAAGGCCAGATCATTCCGATCCATAAAGACCTGGCAAACGCTGCGTGGCTCTAAGGAACAACCCTACAAAGAATAAGGAGAACGATATTATCAGCTATAAGAATTGTTCGATTCTGCTGGCCTTTCCAGCACGGTCTGCCACCACTGCCTGCTTCACCTTCTCCAATGTGACTCACATGGCTTGCCATGTTTGTTAGCAAGACGTTAATAGCCTCCGTCCTCCACATTCTCAAGCGAGTTCAAAGCAATGTTCGCAGCCAGGGCTGCCTGTACGCTTTTCAGCTTTCCCGTCCCGTCGGCGCGGAGCATCTGAGAGCCACACAAATGAGGCATAGAAGGGCTCCAGGGCGATAACACGACCTTCAGGCCCAACTAACCGAGACCTCAGCGGCCACTGCTCTCCAATAGAACGTACACCAGCAGCTGCGCTTTCAGAATCCTTTACACTGAGGCTTTCCCCGTGCTACTCCTTGCGTGTCCGTGCACGAGAATGCTCAGGCTCGCAACAGTGGGAGCGTCAGGGTACCCACGTGAGCGCCAACCTGAACTCAAGGTAATTAGACAGGTGCGTGATATTCTCAACAATGGCGAGCGACATAGCATGCAAATTGGGAGCAGGAAAGCCTTCCCGCAATTCCCGTCATATTCGAATACCCTAGCCATTGCATTTCCGACAAGTTCCACGAATCTATCTTGTTGCGGGGCAAACTCAGGGTAAAGGTTCACAGGTGTCCCACACTCCTCGGCACCGCACCTCCACCACAACTTGCCCTGGTTTCACCTGTCAAGGATGCAATCGGCATCCAAATCGAGGAAGAGGAAAGCAATTGACAGAGAAATAATAATAGTAGTAAAGAATATTAAGTAATACTAGTAATAATATTAAGCAATAATAGTAATAATATTAAGCAAAAATAGTAATAAGAATAATCATCTGTGTCCTGATTGGTACCGTTCTCACTGTAATGGGTACTCTGATGGTATTCTTGCGCCAAAACTTCCCAACCTCATCTTACAGGAACAGATAGCAGCGAGCGAGGATCCCAAGCGAGCGTGAGCAAGCAATCTCGGCGAAGAGGTCTACCTTCTTCTGCCCCCACTCTCCGTACACCTTCCATGGCTGTCATAGCAAAAGAATGAGTTGGTAATTGGAATGACCACTTCAAGATCGATGGCAGTTGCATTCTATTCACACTAGCGGCGCAAGATTGGAGGAGGGGGAGGAGCAGACCTTCCCCGGAAAAGTGGGAATTTGAGGGGCGATGCATGCTCAATTTGACCCGGGATTAAGGATAGGCCTCCGGATAAACCCGTTGATAAAGCTCAAGCACGTTTGGGGTGGCTCTCGGGGCTGCGGCATCGTGCAAGCGCAGATACTCGCATTCTGCACTGGTTTCAGCATGTGAAAGAATGGGTCCTTAAGGATAGGTACGCGGGGAAATTCTCTCCCTTGCCGTGCTTTGCCTGCCAGGTGCTCTTTTAGAGTCTCAGGATAGTTGCCCTTGCTGGGCCTCGCATTGATTACTGACCAGCGGTCAGAGTGGAGGCGTCTGCATTGCCGTCTACACCAAATTCGTAACTTATGTAGGAATCAAATCCGAAACAGCCAAACCAAATGTCCCCATTGTACTTACGAAACTTAGGGTCCAAAAAGACAATTCATGCCCATTGAGCGCGCGTCCAAGAACCACGCGTCGTTCTGAATAATTTCCGCTGACCTCCATGGAGCGGCCGATATACCAATCCAGAGGGTTGTACCTTGTTTTCTGGGGGGGAGGTCCGAAGAGCAAAGGGATAGTTAAGAGCTGCAGATAATGTACCAATGTCGCTCACAACTTCAAGCCCCGCTCATCAGCACCAGCGAGCTCACATCTACTTCCACGTCTGTGCTTGCGCATCGCGTGAAGCTCCAGGTAGCATGAGCTGAGCGTCCCGACAGCATGAGGCCGTGGCGGCATTGACGCAGGCGAGTAAATCCCTGCATGCAAGTTGGCCGGAGGAAGAGCAACCCAAAAGCAGGCGTCTCACCTTTTCTTGCCGAGGAAAGGTCCCACCCTCATCAAGAGACCTGGCGTTCAACGGCAACAACCAACACGCAACGATGCAAGGCAATGCAAGGCAGTCATGCCAGAGGTTGAAAAAAGGACAAAGCTTGCAATGCTCATTGACTTGTCTAACGGATTGCACTGGTCTCTGCAAAATATAGAGTGCACGAGACGCATCTCGACGAAATCAGATGATGTATAACCCGTCTGTTGTCCGAAGAGTCTATGCCTTTGGATGTGTTTTGTACATGGTTGTAGATGTGGTCTCGGCACTGGTCGAACATCCAGCTGTAAAGCATGAGCACCATCTTGATGCTGTAGCGTACATGTTAAAACTTCAAACCATAGTGGCAGAAGCCGGCGTGCAACCAGCACCCTGCAGCATCCGGATTTGCGCGGCTCACGTCACCATCAAGTTGAATACTCTGGCTCGTGGCAGTTTCTTTGGAATAGAGAGTAGCGCCAGCTTCCAACGGACACGCACCCCTCACTGCGGCAAAGCGGCCCGCACTGAGCGAGTTCCCGCATTTCCGTTAAAGAGTTATGGTAGTGTCCGTGTAAACGCCTGGCGCCACCGCCTTCTTCTCACTGCTCGCATTCTTGATCGTCACCTTTGCTGAGTTCCCTTAATCAACAACCGTCCAACACATCACATTTAGGCAGGCCCCATTTAGACCACAACTCAAGATACTTCAACACATATTGAGATGTCAACCCTGCAGGTTCCTTGAGCGCCGCATGAAAGGGCACCCACAACTGACCGTGCTTCTGACAACCCCTCCGTCTAAGCCTCGCGCTTCGCCGCTGATCGTGACACCCGGGGAAAACCTGAAGATGCTTTCATCAAAATCGCCAATTCTGTGAGTTTTTGTGCTTAAAACAGATCCGCAAAATCGACTGCTTACGTACGGCCTGTGCGAATGCTTCCCTCAGCAACCCCTCACATCTCCAGGGGTCGTGCAATCCGTATCAGTACCCCTTCACCAAAAATTGCTTACTGCTTCAAATATGACCTTGACTGTCAGCCAAGGATCACAATGGGTCCTTCAATCACCAGCTTCTTGCAGTCGATCAAGGATGGAGGTCCGTTGGGGATCATGCCGTCCATGGCATCGACAAATCTGAAGAGCGATCATCAGCTTTGGGGATTTGGGTTCAGGGTTTGGGGCCACGCTATCCACGCAGGAGAACGTGGTATTTACAAGGTCTGTCTTGCAAGTGTAGGCAAGTTGCTTGTAGGCGCCATCCTGAATCCCAAGACAAGGCATGCATCCCCAACAGCAACAGCACACGCAACTGGGCGGGTTAGCAGATCAGCACAGCTCATGGCAGCTACAGCAAGAATGGCAGGCAGGCTGATCTGGCAGGTCTACTTGTAGGTCCAAGCATCCAGTTTCACGTTGGGAGGGACTCCTTCCCTCTTCGCATCCAGCTCAATGCCTCCAGGGTGACAGCCAATCTTGGCGTAAGGATGGGATCATTAAAATTCTGCACCGGTCGGATGAGTTACAATAATCATGCTCTTCAGCTGCTTGCAGCAAGTTACGGAAGTCTGGCGTCAGCTGATAGGCGTCTGATCTGAGGGCGAGCAAGTCGTTTGTGGTCTTCACCTGGATGGAAATTGCACGGATTGTGAGCGAACCGCTGTGAAAGGAAAGTCGTGTCAGAAACATGCTTGAACAAGCAAGCGTAGAGATCTTTAGGAGTGCATGCCATGGTAAACTACGGACCATCTAAGGATGAACCAGATCTTCGTTCTGCATGGATTTCCATGTTAGGGCCGTATATTGAGCTCTACTACGCCTCACTCCTCAGAAATTCCGGATGAACGATACCACTCTACGTTGCCGTGTCTGCGCGCTCCTCCCTTAAAGATATCTTCCGATGTGCCATGCAAGCCAGGAGGAAAGGCGTGGGGGCCCGGTTTACGAGGACAACGCAGAAGCTGTGTAGGTGAAAATTCGTACAACTGTCCCAGTCACCGGAGCGAAGCGAGTCCTGGGAATGACGACTGCTGTAGCGCCGGGGAAGCAGCTAATAGCAGCGCCCATTGCAGTTTCGAGCTGCAGGACCTGCAAGAAACGTGATGCTTTAGGGGAACAGGGGATAGTGAAGATAGGTAGTGTTGTGGTGGAGTGAATACGAACTGTTGTGGAGTGCCTCCACGCCCACAGAAACCCGTGAGTTGTTGATTTGCAAACAGACGACACACGTCTCGTTCTGGCCTTCGTCGACTTTTTGTCGCGCGGGTCTACGGTCTTCGCGTTCCTCGGCGACATGCAGCAGAGGAGCAAGCGGGGCCAAGGTTGCAAGTGTAGCAGCCTATCCTGCTTGCCGTACCTACCTTTCGGTTGTCCTCTGCATTGTAGCGCGTTGTCGTAGCAAAAGAAATCAAGCAGTACAAGCAAGAAGGCCCCTACAACACCGTCACGATGTGGTTCATGGCTTCTTGGTCCCCGTTTTGCACACCCAACATTTACGTTCGCCTACATATCTGAGGAAACTTACGTACACTTCCCTTACCATCACCCACAAATTGCTTCATACAATCCTACCGTACCTTATGAGCCTGAGTTAGTTTCCCACTCTCTCACTTGCTTGCTTGCGGTTTTGGACTGAGGCGCTTCATGACCGGCAGCGGGAGCGCCCCACCGCTCTTCTGGAACTGGTCAGCTAAGGCCTCCAGGTCAACCCACAAATTGTTGGTGTTGAAGAACCTGAGCCATAGGGCATGGTGTTTAGAATTTTGGTCTAGGGTTTCAATAGTAGAAAGAATAACAGCAGCAGTAGCAGCAGCTGTCGGTGCCACTATCTTCACGGCGTGAAGTGACAGCTAATAATGAAGAATAAGTAGCAGAAAGAATACGTGCAAGAGTCTTGTCTATCCAGTGTAAGCTCTAGACCCGTGATAGCATGGCTGGACGCATCCTATCAGCAAATCCCTGAGTGCGGCCACTGAGATGAAAGTGCAACAAATGCGACAAGCCGCTTGTACTTGGCCACGTTCTGGAACTCCTGGCATCGAACAGATCTCTAGCTGGGCCCCAGTAAGCCCCATCCTGAAATGCTCTAATTTCTTGCACAGCCTCTTCATAACCCTCTCGGAGGAAGGCTCCTGTCTACAGTGACTATAGCGTAGCCAGCCTTTTCATCCTCGTCAGGGCACTGGGCTGTCTCCCTCAAGAGGAGGCCTCCAGTCCTCGGACCCCACAAATTCTGGGGCAGCGGGTACAGTCAGAACTTGTCACCAACGCTGGGCAAATAAGACGACTCATTTTAGCATGGTGATGGTTCCGTTCAGATTTCTCCTTACGCCCATGAGGCAAACGAACTGATCAAAATCCCCACAAGGAATTAGAAGCAAGGGGCAGGATCACTGATAATCCCTAGATTCACCCGAGGAACTTGTTGTCCTTTGCAAGGTGGCCGCCCTTCTTGTCAGCATCCTTCGAGGTGTTACAGTCAGGCCATGCCAGTAGTTAACACTTAGCATGGTTGAAGTTGCACTGAGGTTTCCTGCAGGCATCATGGGACATGATGGTGGCGATGACACAAAACAGAACCTCTTCTGCCAAGGCGCCGTTCGCGTCGCGACCTCCATCATGAAGGGTGCTTTTGTGCTGGCAAAGTAGCTGAGAAGCTTCAGGTCCTGAGCCATGCACCATCGTCCTAGAACAGACTGCGAGGATTGAATGTAAGAGTCCGTTAGGGATGCTACACTGTAACGACATCACTCTGCGCCTTATCGCAAGGGAAGAGCACGCAACGCCCCAGCCCTTTAGCCCGAAAAAGACTCGTTCCGGTAGTGCGAGTACCGCTGCAAAATGCTACTCCACAAGTAGGCCTTCTTTATACATCCCTAAAGCCCGTCCAGCGTGGCACCCAGGTTGTCAGAGTTGGATACCTGGGATCCACGGGATTTCGTAGCAACATAGCCCAAAAAGGTCATGAATGCTGACATCCAGAAATGTCGAAGAAATGAGGTCTTCTGCCAGGCCGCGAACATGTACTTGATTCCCTCGGGGGAAGCGTGCTTAAACAGCCATCCATGCAAACGTACATGACAAACGCCTGATGGAAGTTTGTCATGTTGCACCATAGATCAGCAATGGCACCTGCATCAAAAGCCTGTCCAGCGTGCCACTCCCCACCATGGCAGGATAAAGGTCTCCATGCCCGGGAGGGCACCATTCCTCAGAGAGTACACAACCAACAAAGGCTGACACATGCTGCGCTCGACTGCCTCTGTGAACCCAGGCTCGTTTTCTGGGTTTGCAGCCCAGGTCGCAGGCTTCAGGTCCTCGCGGGGTGGGCACTCGAAGGTAGAGCAAAGAAGAGCAAATAAAGACAGCAAAACGGCAGCTTACTAGCTCACTTTCTACTAAAAAACACTTTGCCGACTCAGGCCTCCTCAGTGACTTTTGGAGCCTTGTTCTGCACGAACTCCAGGTCGCTACCTGGCAAACCACCCCAGAACCTACCAGGCATTCGAATTCGGTATGAAAGCACCTGTGCCCAAATTGGGGTACTTGGCAAGTGCGTCCAGAGTGTCGGAAGAGGTAGAGAAGGAGTTCATCAGCATGAACTTCACCTCGGACGGACTTGTGGCCAGGAAGGACGACGTGCCAAACACGCCTCCATGGCCAGGACGGAGGCAGCGCAACAACCAATCCAGCAAAGGCGCATTAGTGCCGAAGGCGTCCTGGGCAGAGGAGCATGCCAAGCAGAATGTCTGCAAAACATATATCAGGAAGGCAGGCCAATAATTCAAGGAATTTCGGCAGCACAACATAGATGTAACCCATCTAGTGATGTCAAATATGACCACTGTAACACGAAAGACAAGCAATACTTTTGGTGATCACTAGCTCGCCTTCATGGACTCCACCTGCTGAGCAATCAGGTCCTGCAGGCCAAGATTAGCGCCAGAAAGGTACATCTCAGATGTTGCGGGGCCAGGTTGGCATCCCTACAGGAAAGATAGTGCCACCCAGGGGGAAACTATTATTTCGGGTCGCTTAGCACCGGAGTTTAGGCATCCCATCTCCAGGAAAGTGTAGCCCTGCTTGACCGGCAGCAAGGACTTTGCCTTTTCCAGTCCCATGCCCGTGCCCAGGCCACCGTTCAGCTTGAGCACCACCTCAACTCAGCCGAATAAGGGAGCTGCCATGGGAGCATGTCACAAGCTTTTTTGGGGGTAATGACGTGAAGGATTCAATTTCTTTGGAGCTTCCCTGGAGCCTGGTAAAACGCAGTACACTGCCGAAAGCCTGTGATCTGCATGCTGCCAGGTAGCTGTACGCCTCACAAGCGGTTTAGGGGACCACACGTTCAGGGACCCACAGGTTGACACCGAAGTCAGTCCACTAAAGTTTGCAACATATGGTGGGTTGTTACAGTTATGGTCCGATTTGGGGTACCCTTCTGCTCGAAGCCGCATTGTAATCCTAATCCAAAAAGAGACCATACCTTTGACCACCCCCATATCAAGAGGCCTGAGCAAGGTAGGATCCAAGACAACATCCATGGACTCGTAGCTGGGCAAACTTTCCACAGGACTGATGGAGCTCTCTGGAATCATCGTGTTTTGTCCGGATGTGAGGACCGAGAAGTTGTACTTGAAAGCAGCGATAGCTGCGTCATTGAGACCTTCCCTTTTCATCTTTGCTTCATACAGCGGCCACAGGGTTGCCATATTCGAGTTTCCCACTAAGGTGATTGGCGCAGATGTCTTCGCCACTGTCGGCTGCACTATCTTGGTTACCGTCGGCTGAGACATCACAGTCTGAACCGACGCCACCGACTGTGCAGATGCCCGCGTGGTAATTGGCTGTGCGACCAGCGATGCACCAGCACCTGCACGTGGGGCCGCGTAGACGGCACCAGAAGCCTGAGCCGCCTTCGGCGGCGCTGCATAGACCGCGCGCACCGATGGCAAGGCGGCAGGCAAGGCGGACGACGTAGGAAGCGCCGTTGGCAACGCTGCTGGCAAAGCTGCAGGCAGTGCAGCAGATGCAGCAGAGGCCGAAGGCACGCCCGAAGCTGCAGTGCCTGGGACAACGCCGTAATGGGTCGTCAGCGTCCCGTCAGCATGCTTTACGTAATACTTCTGCATGGCGGAGCAAGGCTTTGCTAAAGCGAAGCTTGGGCCCTACGCCTCGTCCATGCTACTGAAGACATCAGTACAAAGCTGCATGCGCCGCAACAGAGAGCCACTAGCATCATTAGCACCAACAACTCCTCATGAAAGAAGCCGCCTCATGCCAGCAGAACTACAGAAAAGCCAGCCTCCAGTCTCTAGCAAGGCAGACCTGCAGTTCCTGCTCCTGTTGGCTGCAGGCGGTGCCTCAAAGGATCTGAGAGGGTGCCCTCACAACACCGACAGGACCTGCTTGGCGTGTGAGCATCTGATTGAAAAGTTGGTAGGTGACACATTGTGGTCTAATTGCACCATAATCTGCTTTGCGGATTCGTCTCAGCTCCATTCTGAACGTCAACCTCTTGGCGTGAGTTCGACTTTTTCCATTTGTTCTACTTGTGTCAGAGCTACTAGCACTTCTCAGCTTGTACTGTAGGCAAGTACTGAGCACCAAGCGCAAGCGGCCGTAGTCGTTCCGCAAACATTGCCTGGAACGGCAGGCAGCACCACGCAGCTTTAAAACAGGTGTTTCGTTGTGGCTTGGATCTTGGAAACAGTCTTCGCACTAAAGTGATGGTAGTAGCAATAGTGGAGGAACAAAAGTGGCATTTTGGGAGGGGAGGGGGGGGGGGTAACGGATGGCTAGACAAAATATGAGGAGGATGTGCAGGAGAGGAGAGTTGTTGTTGTTGTTGTTGTTCTTGTTCTTGTTCTTGTTCTTGTTCTTGTTGTTGTTGTTGTTGTTCTTGTTCTTGTTCTTGTTCTTGTTCTTGTTCTTATTGTTCTTATTGTTCTTGTTGTTCTTGTTGTTCTTGTTGTTCTTGTTGTTCTTGTTGTTCTTGTTGTTCTTGTTGTTGTTGTTGTTATTGTTCTTGTTCTTGTTCTTGTTCTTGTTCTTGTTCTTGTTCTTGTTCTTGTT